TTTCCCTGATTATTACCATGTGTTTTTTTTTTTCAATTTTGCATGTTATAAGATAAGTCCGAGGTTTTGCAAGAGAATTAGCTCTCACGAACCCCTACTGATCACTGACTCTGATAAATGCCGAGAGCAGGGCGCTTTCACCCGGACTCGTCCTCGTCCTCCGACACGTCGGGGACCCAGCGCATGCGGTGCAAGGCATGCGAGGCAAAGTACGTCTGGCGCAACTCCTACTTTTTGCAAAAAGTGCTATGAGAAAGTCGGCAAGACCGCAGAGGAGTACAAGCGAGAGATCGAAGACTTGAAGGCCAAGAACTTCTTCCTGAGACTCTGGATTCAAACCGACCCCCATGGTCTTGGGTTCACCGACGTCGTCTTGGTCGCCGCCGTCAAAAACGGTCCCAATGGAGGCCAGTCGAAGCCTGTTCCGTCTCACAGGGCCATTCTGGTAAGCATTGCCAAGGTTCATTGATTTCATGGCCTGAAGTTTGGGTTTTTCTTTGTTTTTGCTCCCATCTCCGTTTAAACTAGGAAATTTCAGAAGAGACAGAGATGTTTAGTCCCCAGCGATTAAGCTTCCATTTGTTTGTAATTAACTTTGGGTGGGTTCGAATGTTTTGCTCCAAATTCTAATAGGGTGACGATAGATTGGGTAAGTGGTCAATTAGGCGATGAAGATATCTTAGAGTATTTCTGGGTGAAGAGAACCACTGAATGCTCAACCTTTGTTTGGGAGTCTTAATTTCTGCCAAGTCAAGGCAACTGATGCCGGAATGAAGCAAGGAACGTAAGGGAAGATACTCTTTTGGGAGACCTTATCGTGGATATGGATCTTCTGCAAGAGTGCCATGAAATTCAAAATTCAATTGTCTGCGTCAAGTTTCTCAGATTTTTCATTTTATTTGAGGCAGATAGGAGTTATATAAGAAGCTTTATCTTCTTTTGGCCCTTATGCTCTTTTGTGGGGACTTAATTTCATTATTTTTGTAATTGATGAGAACTTTGCTCGCATGCACATAAAATTCATATTTTCTTAATTTAGACTCTTTTTTGACAAGATGCATAAACATTTTCTATCGAGTTTTCTTGCTTTTTGATTAACTATTTACAATCAGGCAAGCCGTTCCCCAATGTTTAAAGCAATGCTCCAGAATGAGATGGAACATACCTGAAGCAGCACCATCAAGATAAATATAGTACGTATGATGTCCTCCAGCATTTGTCAACTATCTTTATTCCGCTGAGGCATGCCTCGATAAGCAAATGGCTTGTGATCTTCTAACGGTGCAACTCGATCAAAAGGTATGCCTTTACACACCACCACAATGCAAAGCTTCTCCTTGAGGCCACCTTGTCCTTAATCACGAACAACATGGATAATCTCCAAAAAGGTCGAGAAATCTCGGAACTCACTGAAAAGGAGCCACACCTTGTGTTGAAGATATACGAAGCATGGATTGCAAAGCAGAAAAAAAAGTACAGGTACCTGTTAAATTTGGGTGAATGAGTTTTCGATTTTCTGGGTAGATCATGGTTCAGTTAACTCCTGACTGGGTTGTTTTGTTGCCTTTCCCTTAGTCGAGTGAACTTTGTTATGACAGGGTCTTATTTAATGAATGTTTGATTTATGTAATAAATGGCTTTTGCAGGTTTTAATATGCTTTCTTTTTTTCTAGAAACAAACTATCTATGCTGCAATTGGTCATGATATTCATCTATACTATGATTTAGTTTAAATTTGAGCATTGCCCAGGAATATTTAGACAAACTAAATGCTTGCTGATGAGAGAGACTTATATTTCAATTTAATTGCTTTTACATTTTGGATTATCAAACTTTGTTATAGGGTATATTGCAATTTAATTTTTTTCAAATATATCACTAAATTATGACTTCCCTCTCAATCAGTTTATTCAACCTTAGCTATTCCGGCCAACAACCAACCATCCCAAAAATAAATTTGGTCATTATTAAACTTTGATGCGAGTGACGTTCAGAAGACATTAAAAAATGTCAAAGATAGATAATACATTTCACTTGTTTAAGACTTGTCAATTATAGTTCTTAGGGCAATTAAATGGTTGGTTGTCTTCCAGAAAATTAACGCCCCTTTCATCTTTTATGATTTCTTGAACACTTGGCGTGAAGAGCATGATGTTTGACGAGATGAATTGGCAATTGGCCCGTCTTTGTAATTTTTTCAACCAAAGGTGACATGCAAGTTCTGAGAGTCCGCACATGCATGCTTAGTTGAATTGATCGATATGTTAAGATCATCTATCACGTATATCTTATACACGAGACACATCTCGTATCATTAATCGAAGTTTAACTTGTTTAAACATTTGAAAACATGGTGCTCACATTTTCTATTTCATCGGCAGAATGAGATGCAATTTTTCCCTTTTTTATCCGCCAAATGTTTATATGATATGGCTCTGTAGACTCCATTTAAGAAGCTAATTAAGTTAATATACTCCCAACGTCCATTTGCGAACCCTCAATCACGACAATGTTGTTTTTTTTTTTTTGGTTAAATAAAGGGCAGTGTTTGAGAGTTGTCAAGCTTGGGGCAAAGTTAAGTATTTAAGGCATGGAGCGTGGATTTGGCATCTCTAGTTGGAAAAGTGTCAAAAAAGTATTTAACTTTATTGCATTGGTGCCAATTTAGTCATAAACCTTTTAATTGTGTCAATTTAGTCTTAAACCTTTTGACGTAGAGCCAATTTAGTCCTTCCGGATAATTTTGACTAGATATTGTTAATGTGGACGCCGGCCTGCCTACGTGCCACGTTCGGCGCTAACGTGGATAACTTTTAATAATATTTTAATATTTTTAAAGAATATTTTTATTTTTATTTTTATTTTATTTTCTTTCTCATTCTTTTTTTCTTTCCCTTCCTTCTTCCTCAAGCTGGTCGCTGAGGTTGGCAACTCGGCGAGTTCAACCTCCCTGATCTCTGACAAGGCTCGACCTCGCTGGATCTAACAAGGCCGATGGCCATGGCCAGCGAGGGCGGCCTCTAGTGAGGGCTACTCGCCAGGGGTTGGGCGAGGCATGACCTTGAGGTCGACCTCACCTGCCCTTGCCTATGGCCAATCTTCGGACGTCGGCGATCGGCTGGAAAAAAAGAAAGAGAAAGAAAATAAAAAATAAAATAAAATTGAAAAATTATTAAAATATCATTAAAAATTATTCATGTCAGTAATATCTAGCCAAAATTAGCTAAGAAGACTGAATTGGCTCTAGGTCAAAAGGCTTAGGACTAAATTGGCATCATTAAAAGGTTTAGAACTAAATTAGTACCAATGCAATAGATCTAGGACTTTTCTAACACTTTTCCACATCTCTTATAGTAGTGGGGTGCGGAAGGGAATGCAACCATCGCACCGCCCTTCCCCGTTGCCATCCTTATTCCATAATTTCTGTTAAGTTGACGTTAAATTTGTCATGCTAAGGTCCAGATGGCTTAAACCACCCCCAAAAAAAGGAGAAGAAGAAAGGAACGCTTGCTAACTTAAAAAAACGACGAAATAGTTCACATATTTATTTTGACCCAATAAGCGCTGATGTGGTAGTCCACGTTAGAAAAAATGTGCGTAATATGACGATACACTTGATGGAAGGAATACATCAAGCAAATTTTTTACAACATTTAGGGATAAAATTGAACAAAAACAGTTCAAAAATCACATTGAACATTGAAGAAATGTTCAAGGACCACCCTTGTCATTACCCCCTGATTACATAACTTAAATACTTAATACGTTTTGCACTGACTTTTTAAGATAGTTTTCCTGCATTAACAAATTTGGATTTTGTTTGTACAGAACACACTAACACATTTTAACACGATTTTTTAAAGTAATTTTCAAAGTTTCAAATGACTTTTCCCTTTCTAATTTTGGCATTGACTTCTTCATCAAAGGCTATTATATTACCATTGTGAGAATATCCAGCATATGACTATTTTATGTCGACTGTATTTTGCAGAAAACTATATGAGGCAACATTATTTATGTCACTACACAACCAAAAAATTTTCATATGTTGCAGATATGCTATATATTGACTTTTTTTTCTCCTACTCCCCTACCTAAATTTTAATTCGAAAGTTGACAGCTTAATATATATGGTTAGGGACAAAAAAATTTGACTTTATCGTGTGCAACATAATTTGTAGAATAGAGGAAATTAGGCTAAATTTCAATGAAATTATGCATCATAACAGTATACATTATTGTATTATATCCAAATATGACTTGATTGTGCACAATATACGTGGTGATGGAGACATGTCTCTAATTACATAAACTTGAGTCTACTTCATAATATAGATTGTAAAATTACTCCTTTCCCTTATACAACATGTAAAGGAAAACAATAGAACATATACAATGTTTGTCTATATAGTAAAATAGGACATATACTACTTATGTACTTGATAAGGTAAAGTGAGCTTATATTTGAGATAATTCACTTTATGATACATACCAACATATGTATCGATTTCACATGAAATTTTTACTTTCTCCATTCCTTTTATCTCATTTCTTAGATTTAGTGATTATTGCCACTATGGTAGCTCCCGAAAATATTATATTTTCACACAAGACAGACACGCAATATTAAAGAAGAAACTTTGCTAAATACAATGCGCAATGTGAATAGAGCTAACAACCACGCGCAAGATGAATAGAAGTCACACGATATGGTCCTAGTTTGAATAGCATGAAGACTCGGACTACGAAACTAGATATCGGACTGCAATTTCCCATTAATTCTCGAATTGCAGTCATATACGGCAGCTGAATTACAAAGAGCATATCATGGTCAAAATGAGAAAATTCATAGGCAAAAGACTTTTGGCATTAACCTCTAATTCTTTTAGTCCCGTTTTACACCTTAACCAAGCCAAGTCCATGCACCAAACTTACATCATTTGCTTATATAAGCAGCAATGGAGCTCTGGAGAAACCAAGCTTGCTACACATCTTAAGAAAAGAAAGAAGAGGGTACGTGAAAAAAGGGCAAAGAAGGGAAAAGGAAGGGGGAAGAAATGGCGCCCAAGACTATTGCTTCGTCTCCTTGGCTCGGGAAATTTTTGCGCGTTTTCATGGTTCTGGTCCTTCATTTCATAATCCTCGCTGCCGTCCCCAATGGCCGATGCGGGCGTGGTGACGATCTTCTTCTTTTCTTTTTTTCCTCTTTTGAATAATCTCTTGATTTCCTATAGTATTAATTGTTTCTCATGCATTTTTGTGATTTACACCGACATGTTCACGGTTCGCACTTTGCGTGCAGGACTACCGGATCCAAGCAACCCGCAGCCTTCCCCTGGATGTAAATGTATGTACTTGCGTTACATTTTATACACCTAACAATATGAGATTTAGACAGAATTCAAATACGAAAAGCAGTATCCATCTTGCTTGTATCGACAAATTTTCAGGCAAAACCGTGCTAATATGAGCTTTTCAATGGTGTTGCAGGAGGTACTTACATGACAAAGTGATCGACTTCTTGTATCTTGCTTCAAGAGAAAAGTGGAAGGCCCTGAACTTGATTGTAATGTTATATTTTGTTAAGTAGTCTCTGAATTACATATCTTTAAGTAGTCTCTGTGTCTTCAGGCAACTCTTGGTCCGGTTTTAGTTGTAGGTTGAAATAAGATAGTCACAAGCGTGTATCTTTCTTCATTATTAGTGTCCAAAGCTTGTATTCATTACAACTTTAGACTTGCTTGATAGATCGATTATAGTTTCGATTGACACAGCTCTTATGATTTAGAGAGAGATTTGCAATTGATTATGAACGTGAACTTCATGGATAGGATGTGAATATGAAGAATGGATGCTCTCCATGACAATGGGTGACATTTCTTAAGATATATCGAATATTGATGGCCCTTGACGCAATTCGGGTAAGATGAACCGCACCACAATAGAATTTTTAGGCGACAATCACTCTGGGCACAGTGTAATTGCAATTTGCATTCGGAAAGGGATTTGTTACGTGGAGAAGCAAGCTAAGTCAGAAGCGAGAGATTAAAATGTTCAAAATCAAAGTTAATGGGGGAGGAATATCATGTAGATAACATGATCGATCGTTTATACTGGTCAATCATATAATCTGACACATAATACTGAAAACGTTACAACAATGAAGTTGCACTCTCTTAAGTTGAGTTACCAAAATGTCAGGCTCAAATAGCCAAGGACTCAAACTAAGCTCAAAAGCGTTGAATGTACTACCCTTGAGTGCAATATAAAATCATTGAGGCGCACCTACACTTAAATGGGCTTTGCACAATAAAATCAGAGGACCAATCTGGCCACGCAAATGGGCTGTTTTCCCCATGTGAATTGGATTCGGGAGAGGAGGGCTGAGGCCCCCTACGGATCTGTCCCACCTTCTCCGTACATATTTCACTTTCTTATAAATAATTAAAAAAATCTTACAGCTATCGATACGCTCTCTTTTTCGTGCTATGCAAAATAAAAAAGTTGAAAATAAGAGTAGTCCAAATTAAGTATGTGGTGAATAAGAGTCCGGAGACACTAGCTTATCTTTGCCAAAGAATCTAGAGACACTTGTTAACATTACCCTTTGTCATATTTATCCTGGTTAATTGTTCCTTATTATCGTGACTTAGGTGTATATTTTCCAACAGCCCTAGAAGAAAGGCGATGGCACACACTCAAGTATTACATAATCACTTTTTCTCAGTTTTGCTTAAAATGAGAACGAGGCTAGAACCATGGAAATCTATGTTCTAACACATATATCCTATTTGACTCCGTAACCATTTTCTCATCAGCACATGGTATGCAAATTTTATTGCCAATTACCTCAAGGATGCTCCCAGCAATCCACGTTTGATCAACAGTTAGTAGGACCAGTGAACTTAGAAGAGACGCATGAATATTTCACAGCCTCCCCAACACTAAGGAAGACCCTCTCTTTCCCAATCTTGTCCAGGAAGTTGGCCAACTTCAGCTGGTGGATCACTTGCCATCTGATGTTGGCCATAGCCACCTGCGAAAAAAACACGCATGAACTGTAATTTCCGCAGGATCGCAAGATGTAATTTCCATTCAATTTGTTGGGTACTACTTACTTCTAAGCCAACCGAAACCAGCTCCTTGTGCAGTTCTTCGAGCGCGGCAATCCCCGATGTGTCAATGTTCATCACATCTGCCATGAGACAACAGGGGAAAAAAGAAATAAACAAGGACATTGCTGATTAGTAAGGCCCTTTTAGCTTCTAATCCCAAATTGATTTGAGTTAATCAGGACTTACTGGACATGTCAAGGACCACCACTTGGATCTTGCTCCTCTCGGTTCGTCTAGCGTCATCCTCTTCTGTGACTGACCTCATTATCCTAAAACAAAACAGGACCAAGAATATAATATATAAACCAGTACCAAATATATATATATTCTTCAGCACAATATGCCTTGATTCAATGAGATTGACTAATAGATCACCACCTTTCTCTGATGAAATTGGCATTGGCAAAGCACATCAAGCCGGAATTGATGCGGACCAAGAAGACACCAGGAGTTTCGATGGCCATTGGGTATTGTCTAATGTCGCAAAATATTTCTGTCCCTGGAAGCTTTCCTAGCAGTTCTGTGCCGGGTCGAATGGATAGAAGTATTACCTTTCCGAACGAGATAGCAACCTGCAATTAATTCATAGAAGTAAAAAATCTTGACTTTCTTGTCTAAGGTGACGACGCCTAGACTAAACTTTCATATCAAGAGACATTCTGTTGTTCAAGATGAAGACAGTCGAAATATCTTGCTATAGCACAGAATTTCTGATCTGCTGTTGACAATCATTAAGACAATAATTCACGAAAAATTTAGCCCGTCTAGAAATAACTTAATGTGAGTTTGTTGCAGATGGCTTGAAGCAGTGTATGATTTTGGGGGTTTTTTATTTGCCAATACGTGCCAAAACGGTAGACCTGAATGAGCTCTCACTCGAATGGATACTTCAGGATAAGCTCAGCACCAACCAAGCAGTTCGAAGCTGAATTACGGAACTCAATAATTATATGGAACCCACAAGTCACGAGACAGCTAAATGTTAAGCTCTTCAAGGTCCATGTTTGATAATGTTAGAAAGATTGGCAGACATAATAATATATAATTTCTTTCAGGAATTCAATTGTTTTGTCATGTTGGAGAAGTTGGAATTGAAAACTACCGCAGCTAGAAGACCGATCTCCACCGACCCGAACAGGACCCCCAGGAAGGCGCCGATACACGCTAAGAAGTCAAGCTTGTCAACTCTCCAGATCCGGAGAGCCTCACTCACGTCGATCAGACCCGGAAGAGCCGACAAGATGATCGAAGCAAGGATGGCCATGGGAGTGTAGTACAAGAGCTTGGTGAAGAGCAGCAGTGATAGTAGAACCGTCACGGCCATCACTATGTTTGACACGACGGTCTGGCACCCTGCACTAAAATTCACCGCGGTTCTTGAGAAAGAACCTGTTTTGCATGATGAAGAAGCTATATTAGGATTCCATGAATTCGGACAATTTAATTGATAGGGAAAACACAGTGTAGACCAATATAATACAATGTATAAAACCATTTGGGTTATAGGATAATGTGAACTTCAATCTGAAACCTCTGCCTTTTACCCTTTTGTACATCGTTTTGATTTCTTCATATATTCTTGAATGTACTGCCAATTAATCTCACTCAATAGCTCCATTGATTATTATTTGCTGAGGGGACTGAATCGCTTTGGAGAAACTGAGTGACAGGGAGACGTTTTATGTTTTGATTTGAGCGAAAAGTTTGTAATTAATACTGTGCATCGTAAGTTTCCTCCAACTTTCAGGGAAGCTTTACCAGTTGCTACATAGCATGAGGTGAGAGATCCAGCAATGTTCATGAATCCCATTGCTACCATTTCCTTGTTCCCATCAATCTGGTAGCCTTTGATCGAAGCAAAAGACCGGCCAACTGCTATCGCTTCCTGAAGAAAGCATTTTTGAAGACCAAGAGAAACTTCATAGAAAAAAATGAGAAATTGTCAGACAGATAAAAAGATTTTGGGCATGGAGGAGTACGGTGAGAGCCACAGCGGCACAGATTAGACCGATTTTAGCAGACTGTCCTACATGTGGACCTCCGAACTGCAACTGATGTGCTGAACTTGGATTTAATCCTCCTTTGATGTGCTTTACTACCTTCACACCATGGTTATCAGCCTTCGTCAGAAAGACTATTAAAGTGGATAGGACTACCGACACTAGAGGAGCGACGGCCGGTAACCAGAAGAGTTTCTTGTTTCTTCGTCCCTGAGAACATAAATGATTTGTGTTATTTGGTTAGCGGAGAAAATTTTCATGAGATATATAGGAAATGCAGGGGACGTAAAATTTCCTTACGATGAACCTCGCAATGAGGAGGAAAATAAGGAATGAGCATCCGAGGACAAAATTCAGGGGGTACCACTGTCACATGTGCAAATTAAAATACAATTGTCAGCCTTGTGGCAGTAAAAGAAAACATCATCTGAGACCATTTTAAATGACAAAACTAGAGAGCACTGCCCGCTATGATTGGAGCAACTCTCGTCCACAAATCTTTCTTGAGGCTGTTTCTTAGAGAGACTAGAGAAAACACTGAAACAGGACATACTTGATGGTGAATCGATCTAAATGCCGACTCTAGAACGGACACCGCGTCTGTTTTTGTTGTGAAGTGGCTAATGCCCAGTAGCCCTTTGAGTTGTTGAAGACCGATGATAATGGCCGTGCCCGCCATGAACCCAACAATCGCAGCATGTGAAAGAAAACCGACCAGAAATCCCAACCTGCGAGACTCAATGCCTTCAAACGAGGTTCTTACTTGTTGAACATAGAAACAAGTTGAAGAAGTAAGGCAGAAGAGTCTTTCAACGAAAAAAGTACCTAAACAATCCAAAGATCGCCTGGAATGTTCCAGCAAAGAAGGTCACCGTGAAAACGAGGCTTCTGTAAGCTCCTGGGTCGGTCAATGGATCCTGTATATTCTGAATCATGGAGGAAAGCAAGAGTGATACGACAGCAACAGGTCCAATGGCAATCTCCCTGGAGCTCCCCATCAAAGCATAGACGAGAGGCGGGACTACACTTGTGTCTGAATCCGTTGCTCAAAAAATGAACTCTCACATTCAAATTATGCTCGAAAGCTAAAACTTAAGAAATGGGAGTAAGTCATTACTCAAAAACTTACATAGACCATACTGTGGATCCAGTTTTGCCAAGCTAGCATACCCAATGCTCTGCAAGAAACCGAAACCATGCTCTTAGAACTGAAGAGACTACACACTGTCACATTCACAAAACACTGTTGTCTGGTTCAGTACTGCTTTTTACCTGAGGAATGCAGAGGCTTGCGAGAGTCAAACCGGCCATCAGGTCGCTTTTGAACTTCGAGATGCGGTAACTTTTGCCCCAGCAGAGGATTGGGAAGAGACCTTGAAAGAGTGAAGCAGCTCCCCTGCATAGAGCTTGCTTGTGTGTCAATGGAGATTTTTTCTTGTCATCATTGCTGTTGTTAAGAAGTAGTGTCTCTCTTATTGAGACGAGCAGATCATGCCAGAGGCTAGGAGGGTCGGGTGAATCAAGCACCCATTCAGCTCTCCCAGCCTCATGATGACTAGCGTTCTCAATGCTTGTTGGCGGAGGCAGCTCTGCCTCGGATTTCAAGCTCTCTGTAGCAGGCAGTGAAGCCATGGTTGTGTGAAGCTTCTTGGGTCGACCTTGG